TGCATGTAGCCTCGACTCTTCCGTGTTGGACCTTTAGCTCTTATGCACCTTTCACAATTGGTGATCCAGTCGGCAATGGATTTTTGACAGCCGACCCAGTAGAATCTCTGCTTTACCTTTTCAGCGGTTTTTGCTATGCCAAGATGTCCTCCACTTGGCCCATCGTGAAACTCCGACAAGACATCTCTTATTTTGGAGTCTGGGACGACGATCAAGTTCCGGTGAGATTTACCGTCCTCACTTTCCCATTTGCGATATAGGCAACCATCTATTATAAGTAGACTGTCCCACTGGGCCCAATAGGATTTTAAAAGAGGGCTTTCGGAGGTAATTTCTTTGCGACTAGGTCGTTTGCCCGTTTCTATGGCCGAAATTACTTTGCCCAGAATGGGATCTCCTCGTTGTTCCGTCGACCAATCTTCACCCGACTCAAACTGCAATAGTCGGACATCAACGATATTCTCTTTATTCTCAGCCTTTGAGCAGTGCTTGCATTCTACTTTGCATGGCCGACGAGACAGGGCATCAGCATTACCGTGTTTTCCGCCTTTTCTGTGCTCGATTCTGAAGTCATAACTCTGGAGCCTCTCGATCCAACGGGCTAGTTGACCTTCCGGATTCTTAAACTGCAGCAACCATTGGAGAGCAGCGTGGTCGGTCCTCAGCAGGAAATGCTGGCCATATAGGTATTTGTGGAAGTGTTTAACGCACTCAAGGACAGCAAGCAGCTCTCTCCTCGTCACACAGTAATTCCTCTCAGGTTTCGACAATGTCCGGCTGTAGTACCCGATGACTTTTTCCTGTCCGTCGATTTCCTGGGAAAGGACGCCACCGATGCCGCACGCACTTGCGTCTGTGTCCAGGACAAACTTGCCGCCAGGTATAGGGTATGCCAAAATGGGGGCTCTGCATAGCATGTCTTTGAGCTTTCTGAATGCCTCCTCCTGGTGGTTGCCCCACTGAAACCTCTGGCCTTTTTGCGTCAAACGGTGTAGACAGGCGGCGATGTTGGCAAAATTTTGGACAAATCGACGGTAGTATGTGCAGAGACCCAGAAAGCTTCGCAGCTCATGGAGATTTCGGGGCTGCGGCCAATCTCTGACGGCTTGAATTTTCTCCTTATCCGTCGATATGCCCTCCGGCGTCACGTGGTGCCCCAGGAACTTCGCCTCTCGTTGGAAGAGACTGCACTTCTTTGGGTTCAGCTTGAGGCCTGAAGACGAAAGCTGCTGTAGAACATCCTTTAAGTTCTTGATGTGTTCGTCGAAGTTGCGTCCCATGACTATGATGTCATCCAGGTATATGAGGCACGACTTCCACTGCAGCCCTTTTAACACACGCTCCATCAGCCTTTCAAATGTAGCCGGGGCGTTGCAGAGTCCGAATGGCATGACATTGAACTGCCAGAGACCCCCATTTACGCCAAACGCTGTTTTCTCCTTATCTTTCTCGGCGATCTCTACTTGCCAGTACCCACTCTGCAGGTCGAGGGTGGAGAACCATGACGTCACGGCTAATGTGTCCAATGTGTCGTCGATTCTTGGGAGCGGATAGCTGTCTTTCTTGGTGACATCATTCAACTTTCTGTAGTCCACACAAAATCGGGTGCTTCCGTCTTTCTTCTTGACCAAGACCACTGGGGAGCACCATGGACTTGACGATGGTTCTATTACACCACTCTTTTCCATTTCACTTATCAGCTTCTGAACCTCGTCTCTTTTTGCCAGGGGAACACTTCTTGGAGGCTGTTTAATGGGTCTCGCGTCTGCTGTATTGATTTCATGCTTCACCACTGATGTTCTTCCTTGGTGCTCTTTTGTCCACGCAAAGGTAGAGGCATATTTCCATAATAGCTGCTTAGCCTTGTTCCTCTCGGAAGGTGATAATTGGTGTGTCCACTCTTTTATGTAGCCGTCGAGGTGCTTCTTCTCCATGGCAGCTGGCTTTTCGGTGCTAGTTTCCAAATTAACTACAGCTTCAGCTGGTGTGCATTGTCCAACATCGGAAAATTGGCAAATTTGCTCTTGCTTGTTTGACAGGTTCAAAACTCTAACAGGAATTAATCCGTCCTTGTTGCTTTTCACCAGGGCATTCGCTATTAGGATGTTACTGTTTCTGTTTTCTGCTGGTTCCACCACCCACAACTTCTCGGCTCCACAATCTCCATTCATTGGTACCCATATTATTGCTTCGGCACAGGGCGGTATTATCTCTGGATGGTCCGTGGTCAGACGTCTAATGGGTGTACTTTCATCGTAGCCCACGTTTAACGGAATTTCGACGTTAGACCAGGTCATCACACGTTCTTTCATATCCAGATTGATACCAAAGGCAATCATAAAATCTGCGCCTATTATCACTTCGTCTACGATATCGGCAACTATAAACTCGTAATTCTCCGATTTATTGGCAATAGTTAGTCTCAGGGTAATCTTGCCGTGTACTGCCGCGGGCTCCCCCGTTGCTGTGCGCAGTCTGACTCCATTAAGTTGCGTTATTTTTCCCTTTACCAGATCTGATCTTACGATGGACTTTGATGCGCCAGTATCTAACGTCAGAACTCGCTTATCACCATTGATGTACCCAGTTGTTGTTAGGTTGTGACTTTTCTGTTGTACTATTGCTATGGAGATTGTGGGGCCATCGTCGATGGGAGCCAGTTCATGCCCCGCTGGACTGGCTCGATTTAGTTTAACTGTGACTCATTGGTGGACTGTTGGGCCATTCTTCTACCATCTTTCGTTGGAGGTGGTGACGATGACCTGGATCGTTTGCGCTTAGCTCTGCATTCGCGCGCAATATGACCTGCTTTATCGCAGTTGTAGCATCTAACCCTGGGCTTAGTCATCCCAACTAACTTTGTCTCTTCTATTACCCGCCTCATGGCGTCTTCGATCGAGTTAACGAGAGATTTGGGTTCGCAACCTTCGGTCTCCAGTTGGCGAATCTTGTGGGTCTGGGGCTTAACAACTATTCTTGCCGTCTCTTGGGCAAGGGCAAACGACACAGTTTCGGAAAATGATGCTTTTGGTGACGCATATGTTGCATACTTAATCTCAGGGTCACGTATGCCATTCACAAAGGTTTCGATTTTCATACGGTCCAGCAATGGGTGATCCTCTCCTGGATACGTCATTAGCACCAAACGTTCCACCTCAGCTGCAAAGTCTTGTAACGTCTCGTTTGCCCTCTGTACTCTTCCCCTTAATTCCATAAGGTAGATGTTTCGTTTATGTTCGCCACCGTACTTACGTTCCAGTGCAGCAATAACATCTTCATAGTTGTTTCTAGAAGCGACAGGAATACTCTGTATAACATCAGCAGCACTGCCCTTCAATGCCAGAAGTAGTGCAACCGCTTTGTCGCTGTCGTTCCACGAATTTCTAGAAGCCACGGTCTCGAACTGTAACTTGAAAACATTGAATGACGTAGAGCCGTCGAATACAGGAGGTTTGATTTTTAGTGTGTTATCAGGAACTCGCACCGGACCACCTTTGATTTCCAGTTCCGAAATTTTCTTCTCCAGATCTGTAACCCTATGGTCGTGGGACAGAAATTTCTCGTCAACCGACTGCACTTTCTTATCCAACTCTTTAATTTGGACCTCCACGGTTTCCATTCTCCTTCCAATAACTTCTGCAATGTACTCGAGTTTCTCGTTCGTTATTCTTGAATTTTCTTCGAACCTTCTGAAATTTTCCTCAAACATTTTGGCTAGCATTTCTCTGAAATCGTCACCCCTGGCAGCTACTGACGAGACTTCCCCACCGTTGGATTCGCCCATTTCCGATAAATCCACTTCATCCTTACTGTCAAACTCATATGTATCGATGTTCATACCACGGCGCTCGAACTCATCCAACAGACGTTTTTGTAGTTCAGCCTTGTTGCCAGTAGAGGACAATTCCAATTTATTGAGTTCCTTCTTCAAGTCTTCCACTCGTAGATCCTTAAACTTCATCGTAGTATTATCGTAATCTCACTTCCGACACCAATTGTTACGTTCTTGGATTTTACTTAATCCCGTGTAGACGTTGTTTTATTTCCCAATACAGCTCGTACCAAATAAAACGCGGGTTCTTTCGGATTACGATTATTACAATGATTTTATTCACACAACTTTACTTTGCACTTTACTTTACTCGACGGTTTCAATTCGCGATCTGATTCACAACTGACTAACTGCCTTTCCATTTCCCCTATTTATATGAGCCTCGCCTGTCGCTACAGAAGTTTCTAGACGATCTGGTAACGCCTAGATTACGAACAATCTACCAATGCAACAAACACATACAAACTTACATTGAGTGAACAATAACAACAACACATACACAGGCGAGGGGGTAACAAAGAAAGAGGAATTAAGCGATCATCAATGATGACGTTTAACAAGAATTGTACGTCAGCAACAAAATAGAAAATGAAAGAGGAAATGGAAGGATGTAGAAAAATCTATACAGTAGTTGTTGTTGTGAAGTTATTCAAATAAACTGCGTAGTAGAAATTTACGTTACAATTCAAATTCTTAAATTAACGGAATTCATCTAAATTAACTTAAATCTAAAGTTATATTCGTAACAATATTATCTTCGAATATGTCAGCCATCTTTGTGTAAAATTTCGCTAAGAAAATATGATTTATTTCTATTTAAATTAAATTTTTTGTGTGTGGATTAGTGGGGACATCAAATTTAAAAGAAAACCGACAGTTTTTTTTTAATTTTTATTTTATGTTAAGCGGAATATGTATGGCAAATATGTATATAAAAAACAAACTGTTTTCTGCTCCTAACTCCACACATTCGAAAGGCAATTTCTTAAGCTTTCAATTGATACTCATATCGGTTCTAAAAAATTGGTTGGATAACCGGTTACGACCGACGGGTAAAATTTACATATTTGTAATCAAGAGTCCAAGATCTAAATAAATATAATACGACATTGCCTCAATAAATACAATTCTTGTAAAATAAAAATACATTCGATTTATTTTAAAATAATAAAATGCAATATTATTGTTATTGTTGACGTGTTTTCAATTTAGACTTCGGCAATTCGGAAAGACGTTGGCGACGCTTGGACTCCATTTCTTTTGCCAATTCCCAAGATTCTTTATCGAGAACATTTTTGCCGCGTGCAATAGCCAATAGTCGTGACAGGACAAGAAGTGAATGCAAGTCGTCAGCACTTGTTACTGAATTCGTCTTTCGCATTTCCACAAAGTCATTTTGTATCATCTCGGTATCATCTGGATTCATAGTAAAATCGGAAGTTTTCGCATTAGTGAGATAGCGTCTAAATTGTTCCAGGCGAGAATTTTGACTCAGATAATGATTGGCGGCTTTTAATGTTTCTGTCATTAACTGAACGGATTCAGTGTCTGTTTTCAAGGGCAATGAAATGTCACTCTAGAATTAAAGAAAACGGACTTTATAACATTATTTTATCTACTGCCGAATTACAATGAAGTACTTACCGGCAGCATACTTCTACCTTCACTCAATATTAATACTGGTATATCGACATTGTAATCTATTTCGTAATATTGGAAATTACATTTAATTTGTTGATTATTTATTAGATTGGCTATGCTCTGAATGCCCATAACACCATTTGCTTCTAGTTTACCCTGTTGCATACGAGTTTCATCTAACACCAAGTGAGTATGCGGTGCTAATTGCAACAAGCCTGACACCAGCTTATTTGTTTCGTAGTCTTTTCTAAAATCAGATGAAATGTGGTTATACAAATTGTTCAATGCCTTTTTTATTATTTACTCACTTTGGAACAAAAGCTGCTGTGTTCATGGTATCCAATGTCATAGGCAAATAATGACTCGCCGGTAATATCTGTTCTAATATTCCATACAGTTGCTTGGTATATTCTGCCACAGATTCCTTTGGTAAATTGCAAATGTTTAGAGAAAACTTTCCAATACTTTGCAATTCGCAACGACTATAAACAGTAGATATAAGATGTGATAGCAAATAGTCAGCAGCCAAGTCATCATTAAAAAGACACAATGTCAACAACATGCGTAAATCCTTTTGAATAGATATCACACTGGCACTGTCTGCCTCCCACTTTCCTAAACGTTGATCCAGTAGAGGATTGGCATGTGGTAATACGTGCACAGCTATGGCATGCAAACGAGGTATTAGAGAAGGGGGTGGATTTTGAGCTTGTAATTCACCAACATTGTCATAGTCGACGTCCATATTTGTCCCATCCAAACATGGATCTACTGACAAAAACCCAACAACATCGACAATGGTATTTATGATATACGAGTCAAAATCGCTATACACCTTGACCATACACGCTTTACTTGGCCTGTCTGGTATTGGAGAATTAAGTAGGTAATCCGCACCAAGGCACGCGGAAGAAGCGGAACCCGGCGTTGTTTTTCTGTCGCTTGCAATTTGGTCTACTTTTTGTCGCTTGTTTGTATCTGTTTGTCCCTTACTTGAGCACTGCGTTAATTCTTCGGTATCCATGCTTTCTGTATCCATTTCCTCTTCAGCGACCGGTCTTTTAATAGATCGATTCGAAGACTCCCCATTAGTGATAATTTCAGGCACATTTCGCTTATTACAGTTTTCTTCATATGTTTTAGCCCAATCGTTTATGCCTGGAATTGATACCACGAAGAGAACTCTGCGTTCACCCTGCACATTTGTTTCAGAATGATAATTGACTTCCTCGTCTTTTCCAAGAAGCAAACAATCCCGATATTTCCCCTGTTGCATGCGAATTTCTCCAGATCCACTGGAGTGCTCCTTCTTCTTAACTTCATAGCTTTCCAAATAGATTTCCGGATCAAGCATATCTTGTATCATACCACGAAATCGAACAACAGAATAATCTTTAAGTTTATGGAGTGGCGTATAATTGAGCAATGGAATGGTTGCCCATAGCTGCGGGTCTTCAAAAGCCTTGCAAAACGCAGCATTGTCTGAACCAACAAATTCTTCTGGTGATTGGGGTAATTTTAGAGCTGCAACTTCAGTTTTAACAAACATTTCTCTTTGTGTATTTGCTTTTATTAAAGAAATTATAAGAATACCACGGCTGGCAGACGGTCTAGTTGTTCGAGTTGTTGATACTGTTTGTTTGCAATAATTTTGCGCGCAATTTTGCATTTGTCAAATAGTCTGTACCGTTTTTAAGCATATGTCAACAGGTGGCGCTTTTGCCTATATAACAGCCAGTGTTGTAATTGATTAAAAATCAGTCAGTATATTTCGAATATAGAGCAATAATAAGGTATTACACAAAATCTACAAAATTACATGGTACCATGCAAAATTGGATGTTTTCATTCATTTGATATTTTTTGTTCATGTTCAAAATGAGTCAAATAGCGCGAAATATAGAATCATTCATATTTCGCGCTATTTTACTGATTTTGATAATGAACAAAAAATGTCTAATAAATGAAAACAATTTGTTCAATCTTTTGTTCAATCTTTCAATTCCATGGGTAATGTGGTTACTAGTTTTGATACGCGCCCCGCAATTTAAGTTTCTTCCAATCACTGATTTTCAAAACATGTTGTTTTTATTTTTCAAAACAACGAATACTTACACAAAATTGGCATAAGTCATGTACGCTTAGAAAGAAAATTGTAATCAGCTCTACCTTACCTTTTTATAGTACCATGAGAACAATAATGTTTTACCCATGGTACAATAAGGAGGTAAAACAGGATTCTTTTCACAGTTATATGCTACAAGATTTTTCACTTATTTCATATTTTTAAAATATGTTAAATAGCGTCATAAATATAATTCAAACTGTTCAATCTTTCAGTTCCATAGCAACGCTGGTTAATATATATATTACTCGTCCCGCAATGTACGTTTCTTCCAATCATTGATTTTGAAAATATTTTGTTTTTATTTTCTAAAACAATAAATACATACAGAAAATTGACAGAAGTTGGGCACATTTTTAAGATGAGAGTGCATAAGCAGCTAGAAGTCTTCGGATGGCATATTTTATGACATATCATAAAGGAATACCAGAGCCGCACTCGAATCCTGCCGTCGTTTTTCCTTATAATTTGACATTAATATGCCTAGCCATGATGCCAGCTGCTTATGTACTCCCACCCATGCCTCAATAAGGAAGGTTGCTCAACTTCAAAGAAACTTGAAAAGTGCAACTCTGTGCTGGAATCTTATAGTGTCTTATAGACTTATAGTGGAATCTTATAGACTTTTAAATATGCAACAGTTGGTTTTGTCTATTTTTCATTTTTAACAAAATTGTTATGTTGTTGAAAAACCGCTAAGCAAGAATTGAATTTTGGGTTTATTCCTCTCTCTCTCTATCTATGATAAAAATTGCAAAACTAGTAGATTCTTTTAGGTACTGGAACAGAGCATTAGTTGTCATATAGGCCATAAAATACATCCTTCACTCTTTTATTGCCAATTCTTCCAATTCCTTTCGTTAATCCCACCAATTTTCGATCTGGAGAGACCTAGTTTTCTTTACCACAAAAACGGCAATGTAAGAACCAGTCGCAGTTGTAATATTTGTAATATTCCGGCTTCGAACTCTGACTAATTCCTGTGATACAAACAAAATTCCATGAAATCCGGATGAATATGGATGATCTGGACGAACAGCTGAAACAATTGAGTTTAATAAATGGTCGCCTATCGGTTGCCGTAGCGAATAATGAAGCCACTCCCGAGAATCGTCATATCGGTGTCGCGAAGCTGGTCAGCAATATTGAAGAGAGAAATAATTTGTCTTCCACACAAATTTATAACACTGCAAATAAAAAGGTGGGCCCTCCGCTAGTTCCTCCGAAGCCGCACAAGAAACCAACCACTTTTTTGGAGAATCAAGATGAAAACCATTATGAAACCACAACAGTTGGTGCAGGATTTGCAAAGCAGCCTTTATTATTGCGCAAGCAATCCTCTACTTCCTCCATCATTTCGGCACCAGGTGTTCCTCCGCTACTTTCGTCGCCTAAGGTTACCTTAGACAATCCAGCTATATTGGAACAGCAACTGGAAGCTCTAGAACATCATAAGAAGCAATTGGAGAAAATGGGTAAAATTACCAATCGCAATGATTCTGCTACGGTTCCGAAATCAAAATTATCAACAATTCCAAAACTGTCATCCACATCACTATTGTCCGATGTGACTATCAAACCGCAATTATCATTGGACGGCTCTAGTGCTACATACGCCAACATGAGGCGGACTAACTCCCCATCGCTCTTATCTCCTGGTGGTGGTGGTGGTTCGAATAGCATTAAAAACAACCTATATAGTAATGTAGGTAATATTTATTCCAATCTACAGCCATCCTCTACATCACAATCGCTTACTGACCCAGGCGACGGTGGCATTTACTATGCCCAAAACTTATCCATGCTGCCAGAGGATGAAATCCCACCACCTCCCAGTCCAGTTAGTTCATCCTATAGTGAACTGCGACGTGCCACTGAAGTATTCAAAACCAACAATGCTGCGCATAAGCCAATCGCTGCTTCAAATGATCAGATGTGTATAGCCAAGCCAGTGAGTGGTTACGGTTTACCGCTAGATCACAAGGCACATGTTGCAGGAAACGAGTCTCGTTACATTAATAAGCAATATATATCTAATATGGGATATAACAACTACAATAACATGCAACAAGTAAACTCCGCTGCCAATTCTGATTTTTACGGATATGGAGGATTTTCTCAAACATCATCGACTTACGAATCAATATATGAACCAATAAATCCTAGACCACCAAGTCAGATGTCCAATAATTCAAATAACGCTATGTATCCTTCCTGCTTGAAGGGAGTGGGGAGTATTGGATCAATGCCACCCTGTGCTGGCATACTTAGCAAAAGTAACAGCAGCAATTTAAGCCTTGAAAGCGCTATTGATCCTAATATGCAAATTTATCCAAAACCAACTCGGGACAGTGCTAGCGGTATTTTGGGTCCTAGCTCGTCCAGACACAAAGAGGACGAAGTTGAAGCTCTCACGGATTATTTGGTACAGTCCATGGGATCACCACAGGATTTGGAAAGCTACGGAATATGCTACAAATGCAAAGAACGAGTTGTGGGTGAGAATTCCGGTTGCACTGCCATGGATCAAATATATCACATTGCATGCTTCACGTGCTCTCAATGTGCTCTTAATTTACAAGGCAAACCCTTCTATACATTGGATGGTAAGCCATACTGTGAGTATGATTATTTGCAAACATTGGAAAAATGTTCGGTATGCATGAATCCTATCTTGGAGCGTATATTGCGAGCCACTGGCAAACCCTATCATCCACAGTGCTTTACTTGTGTCGTGTGTAAGAAAAGTCTGGACGGTGTACCATTTACAGTGGATGCTACCAATCAAAACTATTGCATTGAAGACTTTCATAGGAAGTTTGCACCTTGTTGCTGTGTATGTAAGGAACCAATAATGCCGGAACCAGGCGAAACGGAAACTGTTCGTGTTGTGGCGCTCGATCGGAGCTTCCATTTTGAATGCTATAAATGTGAGGATTGTGGTTTGTTGCTTTCGTCCGAGGCAGAAGGACGTGGTTGTTATCCTCTTGATGACCATGTTTTATGCAAGAGTTGTAACGCCAAGCGTGTGCAAATACTCACCAATCAAATGCTTGGGAATACCACAGAACTTTAAACGAAATCAATTCAATCAAAATTACATTTAATTCAATCAAAGTTACATTCCATGTTACGCATAAAGAAATAATCCTTAAATACAATAGTAGCTTAATGTAGGGCTGGGAGAAATTCTTTCGCATTTATACAAATATATAAGTCAATGGAAATACATTCCGACAATATGCTTCTACTAGTATATGTGGCGTTTTGTGTACTTTTGAACTAATGGTATAGCTACCATATTTAATACCCTAATATTTAAATGAATGTGTCATTGTACTAGTAATTATCAAAACATTTGTACTTTTATAACTCTAATGTTTCGATTTGATACCAAATATATGTGTGTAAAACTTAAAAAGTTCAAAACAATTAAAATGTTTTTAATTTGAGGAAATATAGCCACTATTTCAATTGATTTGCAAATGTTTCTAATCATACATTTTTTATGGGACATATCCATTGAAAGTTAAAACAAGTAAAACAGTATCAGTCGGTCAGTCAGAGTTATGATTATTCAAACTGTTAACCCTTTATGGGGGAGGTTCCGAAGCAGTTGGCCAATAGTGACCAATTCGTATCTGACCTAAGACTGATTTCAGATATATGTGCAAATTTTTGGAAAATCTGAAAATATGTGTCAGGTAACAGATATAGCGGACCATTATCATGTTTCATCTAATACAGTTAAAATATTGGTATGAGCAAAATTTGAAAGAAATCGAACATTTATATCCAATTTTATGTGAAATTATGAATTTTCCATAAATATTTAGATATAGCAAGCTGTAAAGAATCGCCGACTTCATTCGCAAGTTTTGACAGATAAAAGTATTGACAATTGTGAACCTTTGAGGATCAGGTACCAGAAGGGGTTAACAGATATATATCATCTTCACAACAGGTCTTGCGTTAACAAATGTATTTGGATGTGTAAAATTTGGAGATAGTTGGATGCTTTTTTCGTTTTCTTTAAGCGTTGAAAAGTCTTGAAAAGAAAAATGTGGGGGAGTTGCCAGAAGAAATGGTCCGCTATCTATCATCTTTATGCCACATCTTGTGGTGATGGAAATATTGAGATGTACCAAGTCTGAATGAAATCGAAGATTAATTTCGCGTTTCATGAGCTTCATGGATATTTAACATTTTAACCCTTTTTGTGGGAGGTATCAGAAGGACTGGACCGATATATCCATCTTCACACCAGACGTTGGGTTAATACAGATATTGTGATGTGTGCAATTTGAAGGCAATCGGACACTTACATCAGAGTTTATAAGAGTTATGATTATTCAAAATATTGACCCCTTGCGGGGGAGGTACTTGATGGAGTGGACTGATATTGTCCTTTTTCGCACCTGACCTAGCACTGATGTAAATATTAGGATTTGGAAAGTTGGACCAAAATCAGATCAGTGCAGTAAATTATTTTCTTTGAAAATGTTGGCATTTTGTGGGGGGGGGGGTACCAGAAGGGGTGGACCAATATTCCCCATCTCTGAACTCGATCTAATTTTGACAACAATATTACGATGTACCAAGTTTGGATCAAATCTGATTCTCCCTTCGAAAGTTATTGTGCGCACCAGCCAGACGGTCCGACAGACATCGCTAGATCGACTCCAAATGCCCTGGAACGGATTTGGTCCAAAGAAACCTGGGGTCTAAAACCGTTATTTCTTTGAGACACGTTTTGGCCGTATCAAATGATATATAATACCCTCTCTAAGCAAAAGCAGTGAAGAACCTAATAAGCTGATTCTCTTTATATGCCAGTATACGAAATGAAAATAACTAACTATATAAAGTCGGTCAAGAATACTACTTTTGACAAAAAATTAGCAATTGTGCAATGGTTTCTTAGGCTGCTCGTAGTTTTGGCTCGGCTATTTTTTTGTAAATATATTGACATTCAGTTCCGCACGCAAAATTCATATAATTATCCGCTGTGGCATGACCTCCAAACAATTTTCAAAATATTTGTATATAATTTTTAAAATAAAGTAAATAGCGGGAAAAATGAATGAAATGTCCCGATTTTCTTTTAAAAATCTGAATCATATTTCTGTTCAATCTTTAAATTCTATCTTTAAATTAAACTGGTAAATATCTCTAATGTGCGTAACACAATGTACGTATCTTTCAATCGTTAATTTTGAGAATTTTTTGGTTTTTTTTTTTTTTAATATAATAAATAAATACAAAATCCAAATTGGCAGAAAATGGGGCACACTCTGTACACGTAAATTAAACTATAATCAAAAGATTTGACAATATAAAATGACGAGGTTTTAATGTAAATATCGCTTGGAACATGAAACGTAGCAATAGGTATAACATGAAGAATTCCACATTACGTTGGCGAATAATTAGATTACTCATCAGCTATGTATTTGTCGTTACGTTACGTTAATACCGCCACTAAATGGCACTGCTTCGTTCAGTTTGCAAATTGCAGCTTCTTTGTTTTCGTTAAAAATATATCGTTTAAAAACATTCTAGACTAAATAGAGAATCGGGATATTGTTTTTGTCAAAACGGCGAATAAAAGTAAATTTTTCGCAAGAAACAATGTGTGGAAGGAGTCCACTCAATATATTAGACTTACCCAGTGTGGTCTTAATGGAGATATTTGAATATCTAAGTTACGATGAAGTTTCAAAGAAAAGACTGGTATGTATGGTATTTGCTATTGTTTTCGATGTAAACAAACACATAATATTGTGGCGTGCGTAATTAAAATGCATCTGCACCGCTACGCTATTTTATTTATTCTCTAGGTTTGCCGACGATTTGATCACATTTGCCAGCAAGTATTAAACGGAGGGTTTAATAAAGTCATAAAGCAGCATTCGATTAATTTTAAACGAATAAAAGCGCTTCTGCCCCGCAGAGAATCGGAGCGACGGTAAGAAGATTCCCGTAAACATTTTTGACAAGGTCATTTCTATGTATATACGTTATTGTTGCTGCGTTTAGAAATCACTGCCTGGCTCGACATGCAGATATTCTTACTTCCATAGAGACGCGCATTTCGATGTTATCCATGACCTATTCCAAATATATGGACTTGAATTTGTGCTGCTTTATTCCTGGAAAGGTTCTGGATGAAATATTTCGTATATTGCGTCTGATAGGCAAAAGCAATAAACCACTGAGGCCCCATGAGGTGCTACAAGAACTACGAGATATTTCATCAATGGCCATAGAACATTTCGATGAAAAAATTGTGCATCAATTGAAGAAAACATTCGCAGACAACAGCGGAGGCGGAAGTAAAATGTGCTGTCCAGAAATCAGACGTTCGACTCCCAGCAATACTGGTCTGGGTAATATTTCGTTCAGTGGTATGGGAGCTTCATCCCCGCCGTTTGTAACACCTTACATCTATGGTAGTAATGAATATGTTTTGGAACCTCTCACTCATCGTTTAGGAAGTACATTAAAGACAGCAGCCGGTAACAGTGGTGGAAATCACGCCGACCAACAGTCACCATCAACATCTTCAGCATATTTTGGTGGTGGTGAACACCAACATATAGTTGCACATCCTCCAGGCGATTGTCCAGAGGCTCGTTCAGCACTGATGTATTGCAAGAAACTTGAAGGCGATTATAAGAAGGGTGTGGTCAAGGTAATATATATCGAAATCGAAGTAGTAATTGTCAAAAATTCAAATATCGTAGGAAAGTACAGCTATCATTTGATGTATTTTATGCTTTAGCAATTATTTAAATTTCATTTCACGTGCACCTTTAGCTGCTATCAGCTGTAAATAGTTTTTTTTTTGTCAAACTTACGTTCTGCTGATTGTCAAACTAACATGGTTTCATAGCAATAGCTGGTTTTCTTGAATTTGTATAAAAGCACGCTTTCATAATAGGCGTTTTTTTAAAGATATACAGGGTGAGATAAAAAACTGCAATAAAGTCCAACGCCATTTTTTATATATATATTTTTTAAAAATTTTATTGAATGAAAGCAAAAAAGGTCGGAAATAACATCAAATTTTAGAATAAGTTTAAATTTGTTCGAATTGCTCACCTTTGGCACGAATTACGGCCTTCAAGCGGCCAATGAAACCGTCACACGCGTCCCGAATGATGTTATGCAGTAATTTGGGTCATTCCTGGCGAAGCGCTTACTTGAGGTGATCGACATTTTGTAATTTTTTTAGTACCAACCTTGCTTTCCAAAATACTCCAGACACAATAGTCCAACGGATTGGTATCCGGAGATTTTGGTGGCTATTGTGCGCTGGAAATGGAGCGAGGAACCTCATTTGTAACCATTTTTGTGTTGCCCGTGCTGAGTCTTGTTTTAATGTCTAAGGTTTGCGGCCAAATTGTTTGCGTGCGCAAGGCTTCGATACACCCTCCAGAATATTTTCGCGGTAATATTCGGCATTTATTCTGATGCCAAATACGAGCGGAGAGCGACCATCGGCTGTTATGGCGGCCCACACCATCAACATGGCCAACGTATTGGTATCCAGAGATTTTGGTTGCTATTGTGCGCTGGAAATGAAGCGAGGAACCTCATTTGTAACCATTTTTGTGTGGCCCGTGCTGAGTCTTGTTTTAATGTCCAAGGTCTGCGGCCAAATTGTTTGCGTGCCCAAGGCTTCGATACACCCTCCAGAATATTTTTGCGATAATATTCGGCATTTATTTATTTAGATAATATTCGGCATTTATTTAGATTAATACGAGCGGAGAGCGACCATCGGCTGTTATGGCGGCCCACACAATCAACATGGCCAACGTATTGGTATCCAGAGATTTTGGTGGCTATTGTGCGCTGGAAATGAAGCGAGGAACCTCATTTGTAACCATTTTTGTGTGGCCCGTGCTGAGTCTTGTTTTAATGTCCAAGGTCTGCGGCCAAATTGTTTGCGTGCCCAAGACTTCGATACACCCTCCAGAATATTTTTGCGATAATATTCGGCATTTATTCTGATGCCACGGTCGATTAAAATGAGCGGAGAGCGACCAACGGCTGATATGGCGGCCCACACCATCACCATGACCAGCGCTTGAGTTCTGGTGGACAACCGAAGGTGCACATTTTCAGCTGACCTCTTTGTCAAGTAAACACGATCATTTTGTTTGTTTACAAACTGCTGGACAACAAATGTTTTCTCATCGGAGAAATCCAAATTCGGCAGTTCACCACTTTCGGCCAAGCGAAGCAACTCTTTAGAGTCTATTTTCGTTCCGTTGCGGTGTAAGTTCTTGCTGGAATATTGCGATATGTTCAGTTCACGAGCCATTTTTCGGACACCGCGACGCGGGTTTGATCAAGTCGCCCCTTTACTATTCGAACCATTTCTGCTGATGTTGCTGTTTTCTTCCGTCCACTTTCTTCACGTCGGGCTACGCTACCAGTATCACGGTAACGGGCGATGGTACAAGACACAAAAGATTTATTCACATTTAAATGCTGGAAAATTATCACCAAAAATGCTTTTGTACGCTTGTAAATAATGCAATGAACTGTCACTGGAATAATTTAAACAGCTGTTGAACGAGTGGATTAAAAATTACAGCAGTCTGAAGTTGGTTGCAGTTTTTTCAACTTACCCTGTATATATATTTACTTAATGTTATTAGATTTAGTATAGAATGGAAAATACGCCAGCATAAGTTCACATTTAAAGAGATGAACAAGTTTTTTATGATCTCTCTTTGAAGTAAATATATTAGCCACGTATGTCCGTTAATGTGGATCAAATCATGTGTAATATAAACGCTCATTTAGTGTCTTCGAATAGTTTAAAACTTCTTTTCGAATAGTTTAAAACTTCTTCTTCAAAAACTCCCAGCAATGGATAGCACTTAGGTCGGAGAAAAAACGGACTCTTGATCGATGCATACCCGGATAAACTTAAGCGAATATTAAATTTTTACTGAATGCTGTTATATACTGAATGGAGCTCCTGTTATATGGCGACGAGTATACATTTTTGTGATGGGGCGAATCTTTAATTGCCTCAAGCATTAATTTTACAAATTTATCAACTGGGGCAAAAAAAAACAGAGCTGTACTATAACATATATAATTAGTTTCAATGGAGCTCCCGCCATGTAGCTATTTTATGCATTTAAAATTTTTAAATAAAGATTCGTTTTTTTTTTTTCGTTTGTGTGCGACCACACAAATTGTTTCAACTTTTTGAATGTAAGAAGGAAACGTTCGCAGGTACAGTCCTTAACCGAGTGAAGTGCATAATGTTGTCTTCATAATGCCAACCATTAACTACACATAAGTTTGGAAATTCCAGATAGTGTAATGCCCCCACAATAAGAGTGAAAAAAATCATACATTTTTTGTTGATTTATCAGCAAGGAAATGTATAAAGATTCTGTTTTACATTTGTAGGTGAAAATCGCTATAAATTCTAAAAATGCATTATAAATAATCAATTTGCTAGAGAAATAAAATTGGAATAAACCACGATTATAAATGTTCCAATAACTTTTTGTATTGATATCCCTATCAATGCTTATGTAAATGTCATTAACAACACCGGCATACAGTTTCGAAATTGGTGAGTGTCACATTAAAGTGAAAACAAGTAAAAAATTTTTTTAATAAATTGGCATAATTCTGTCATATTGAAAAAGTCCGGCTAATAAGAAGAAGCAAACTGAAATGCCACTCGTTTCTAAATGTATGTTAAACATAACTTCACATTAAATGACAGTGCCGTCGTCCTATATTAAATATGCATGATTTTTGTAGGTTTGTGTGGTTTTGACAATTTGTGAAAACATTTTATAGAAACTGGTAGATTAGCTGACAGCGGTATGATATCATGTTTTCAGTGCTACAACAGCGTTATAACTGAAAAAAACTATCTGGGTTTTTTGTACATTTTTGTTAAAATGAAAAACCTGGCGTCAAAGCAACGGAAATTTAATAAATTGGTTTACACTAGACAACATTTAATATTTTAAACAATTCTATACCAACAAAATATATATATTTTTTTAGACAAACTTAACCTTAATTTGTGCAACCACATGACATCTAGTAGTTCATTAGCAAATTCAAATATATTCCCCGCATAGATTTTTGTCGATTTTTATACTCTCAGCTAGAGAGTGTATATATCATCCGATACCGCCAAACATGCCCCATCGAAATAACGATTTCGAAGTCTAGACCAAATCCGTTTCTGGACATTTGGAGTCGATCTAGCGATGTCCCTCCGTCTGGCTGGCTGGTGCACACGATAACTTTCGAAGGCAGTATCCGATTTAATCCAAACTACGGTACATCGTAATATTGTCAAACTTAGATCGAATTCGGAGATGGGCAAAATCGGTTCAGTCCTTCTGGTACCTCCCACACAAAAATTTGAAGGAAATCGAACATTTATATCCAATTTTATGGGAAATCATAAATTTCATATTCGTATCAGATTTCTGGTTAAGAGAAAGTTGTAAAGAATAAGTACTGGAAATTGTGACCCTTTGTACCTGAGGCATCAGAAGATGTTGGCAGATGCATATTATCAGATCTTGTGTTAGCAAAAATGTTTGTATGTGGGAAATTTGAGGAGATGGATGGATGGATTTGGATGCTTATTTCGCTTTCTTTGAGCGTTTTGTTTTTTCAAAATCTTGAACCCTTTGTGGGGTAGGCACCAGAAGAAATGGTGCGATCTTTACCATCTTTATAACAGATCTTGTGTTGATGGAAATATTGAGATGTATTAAGTCTGAATGGAATTGTAAGTTATTTTCGCGTTTTATGAGTTTCATGGATAATCAAAATATTGCCCCTTTGTGGGGGAGGTACCAGAAGGAGTGGACCGATATATCCCATTTTCACAGCAGACTTTGGGTTAATAAAAATATTGTGATGTGTTTAACTTGAAGAGAACTGGATGCTTATATCGGATCGTTTATGATCGTTTGGTTATTCAAAACTTTAACCCTTTGTGGGGGAGGAATGGCCCGATCTCTACCATATTTATAACAGATCTTGTGTTGGTGGAAATATTGAGATGTGCCAAGTCTGAACGGAATCGCTTGTTAATTTCGTTTTATGAGCTTTATGAACATTCAAAGTTTGACCCTCTGTGGGGGAGGTACCAGAAGGAGTCTTCACAACAGATCTTGGATTAAAAAATATTATGATTTGTGTAATTTGAAGGTAATCGGAAGCTTACAACACATTTTACAAGAGTTATAATTATTCTAAATGTTGACCCTTTTTGTGGGGGAGGTACTTGATGGAGTGGACCGATTTATTGTCCATTATCACACCTAGCACTGATGCAAATATTAGGATATGCAAAGTTGGAGCAAAGTCGGATTATGCTTTCTCTTTCTGGGCAGTAAATTATTTTATTTGAAAATGTTAACATATTGTGGGGGAGGTACCAAAAGGGGTTAACCGATGTTACCCATCTCCGAATTCGATCTAAGTTTGATAATAATATTACGATATTCGAGAGTTATCGTGCGCACCAGCCAGACAGAGGGACGGGCGGACGGACACCCCTAGATCGACTCCAAATCTCCTGAAACGGATTTGATCCAAAGAGACCTAGGGTCTAAAACCGTTATTCCGATGAGGCACGTTTTGGCCGTTTAAAATGATATATACGTTCTATAACCATATGACTGAGGGTATAAAAATATTTGCCTAAATTAATTGCAAATATATGTAAATATGCAAAAAAAAAAAATTAAAATTGTTCAGCTTCAAAAATTTGTTCTCTTGCGGTGAGAAACGTCGAAAGCGTACGTCTAGTATTAGGTAGGAGTGTTTCGCAAACGAAGAATTGCATTTTACTTACAGAAAATCGTCGCAATAGAAAAAATTCCATAGGAAAACACATTATTAGGATTAAATCTTAAGGACTTCTATAGATGCAATGGCTCCTTGGTGATTTGTTTCCTATGTGGGAAGCCACGTGTGTGTGGAAAATTGCCTATAACACATGATTATTTAAACAGATATAAAACATATACTGTTCCATAATTAACAAAAGTATAATAATTTAAACACACATAATTAATACAAGCTATATGGCAAACTTTATTACAGATGCATCGCATGCAGCAAATACAAAATTTGCAATACAAACGCCTGCAGCAAGCCCTAAGTTCTGTTGCAGAACTTAATGTCCAAATTGTTGAATTGAAAAAGCGCCTAGAAGACGTAGATGCAAAAAATCGCGAAATTTCAGCAAATATAAGGCACATCAATGGTGGTGCCTCGCCAGAAACTGCCAAAACCACACCGCCATTGTGCACTGATGCTGCCGTCACTATTGGTCCTACTACAGATGAAACCGCAACAGCTTCTAACCCCCCATTGTCAACGGAAATTGCAACTCCCTCGGCCACATGTGCTCAAACACAATCTAACGAAGAAATTGAAAATAAAGCAATGAAAAGGCGATGTAATAGTGATGGTGTCGATATTGGGGTTACTGGTACATCATCACTGGAAGAATTCGCAGAAGACAATGTAGCAGACGATCGACAATGCAGTGTATCATGTATTTCCGTTAAGAAGGTCAAGTTGGAGCAATAATTTTTTTTTTTTGCAAAGTATAGACCGACATATTTACATTTACATGTACGATTAAGCCTAGATCTATTATTAAACAAACAAAAATATATTTCTAAATCTTTCAATGGTATTATGTGCAGTATATATGGTGTTAAATATATACTGGTATGTACATATTTTATTAAAATACCTTTTCTAAATTTAATTTTGATCTTGTTTGTAAATCAAGGAAAATTTGATCTATTGGAAATGCTCAGAACTTCATTTCAAGAAGCAACAATAATAGCAAAAAAAAAAAAATATGAAACGAATAAAAAATGTATTTTTTAACATTTGAGATAAGCTTAATGATTGCGAATTTGCTGGAGAATGGGAAGATTATTTGTGCGATTGAAAGGACATTCAAGATGTAAGTAAAATTAATTTTAGGAGAAAACTCCTATATAATTTAATTGATAGATTAGATAAAGTTTGAAAAATGCATTAAAAATTTTAAAAAATGTATAATTGAACCGAATCGAGTTAGACAGGCGAAATATAGCTAAATCTTACAGATTGACGCTCATTTACTCAAGGAGTGACATATCTCAGAAAATGATGTTTTTGAGTTAGCAGTTTCAATTTTTCGACGGGTTCTTTGTGTTTCTGTTTTTATTTTCATATTGATAACTCTAGAAATCATGGAGTTCGGCGTAAATCAACAAAAAAAGGTTTGAAACTATTAGTGTTCTTGCACAGAAACTTAGCACTGATATGTATAAAACAGCAGTGAAATAGCTGACTAACCGAGAATCAACGATCAATCGAAACGGCTGAGGCTAGAATCTTGAAATGTTGCACGAGTAGCAGTTTTGGTGCGTAGGCGTTTTTTTTAGGAAATTTCTATTAAAAGCGTACGAAATTGAATATTTCGTATTGAACTAATGGAATAAGGTAGAACTTTGAAATGTGGAATGAATCACTGATTCAGGATAGATGTACTAAAAGGTTTTTAGAAATTCAAAGTTTGAGGTTACGAAAACTTCAAAAATGGTACCATTTGGTATTCGGCCCTATTACGGTTATCGTCGGCGTCGCAAAATGAAGTCGAGGCGACAATAATGATATTAGGGTTGTCGTTTTTTGTCGATAGCGACAAATGATTGCCATTATCATTGTCGATACAACAGTCGAAGTGAAGTCGATTTTTGAGAATATCTGTCGCCGTAAAAAATTGTGACGACATAGTACTTTTTAGTCGACGTTGATATTGTAAGCATTTTGTATTTGATATTTGACCATGAAAATAACAACAGCAAACAATTTGAACTTTTGGTTTCCGAATTGATTGAGGATTTACCAAAGGTCATGTTCCAGCAAATTTTAATTCAGATTGGGAATCCATTGCTACAAAATTAAATGTAAACGGGCCTCCGATTAGAGACTCCGATGGCTGGCAAAAAGTATGTAAAAATTAAAATTATTTTTGTATGTTTTTATTAGTTGGTTTTCTAAAATTCTTCTAGGTTTGGAAAGATTAAAAATTTAAAACTAAAAAGAAACTTGTACACAACAAGGGTGAAACCAGCAGCAATGGAGGTGGCATTTTTAAGCAAATGAGTTTGTCGCCTTTGGAGGAGTCTGTCGCGAATATAATGCAGTTTCAAAAGTTATGAAATCCACCAGGTCGTGCACTTGGAATAGAAGATAAGGAAAACATAAGTGTAATAGACGTTATAGTTCATGAAAATGAGCAAGTGGACAATGCTGAAAAAACAATGTTAAAAAGTCACCAAGGAAAGCAGAAACTATTGAACTCTTGAAAGAGCGGCGTAAACTTTTGGAACAACACAATCAAGAGCCAGGCAAATATGTTTGTTGGCTGCCTTAACACTTGCCGCTGCACTACAAATACATTCTTCTCTTCATCCTCACTTGAACTTAAGATATGTAACGCATTTATAATCTTAATTTTTTCACTATATTTTTTATTTTTCCGAAAGAGTCCAAATTAGAATTCAAAATACCAAAAAAAAATCTTTTTTTTTTGTCAATAACAAGGAAGTGTTGCCAACGTTTTTTTTTAATTGTTGCCAACTTTTATTTTAAACTGTCGATGTCGCTTCTATGCCTTACCCTAATACCATTTTTGAATCGAAGCGACGGCGAGGGCGACTCGCACATAAAGTCGACGACGACTATAGTAACGACAACCGTAATTGGGCCGATTATGTTAACGGAAAGAGCTAAAAACTGAAATTTATTATGATAATCAAGGTTGGAAAGCAAATTTGATATAAGAAGTTAGTTTTGGAAATGTATACCGCGACTGTACTAAATAGTACTAAAATTGGAACAGTTTGTGATAAAGAGATGATTTTGGAAATGAGTACTACAAGTGCACGAAAAGTACTAAATTGTACTAAATTTTGTACAATTGAGTGGTGGGTGAACAAATATGGCATGAAATCTGAAATTTGGTGTAAGGGTCGCTGTTCATGTGTAGCTTGGACATGTGGTGGTGGTTTCGGAAATGTGTGCTACAATTGCACGATAAGTACTGAATCGTACTATATTATTGGCTGAAGGAATAGAGATAAAACTTTGAAATTTGATATTTATATAATTGTTGGTATCTGAGATTGAGATATGGAGGTGGTTTTGAAAATATGCAAAAGGCGCTATATACAGGGTGAGATAAAAAAAACTGTAACAATATCAAACGACATAATTTTAATGAAAGCAAAAAATGTCGGAAATAGCATCAAATTTTAGAATAAGTTAAGATTTGTCCGAATTGGTCACCTTTGGCACGAATTATGGCCTTCAAACGACCAATGAAACTGTCACACGCTGTTGCCCTGCGGTATTTTAGCCCATTCCCGGCGAAGCGTTTGCTCGAGGTGATCAACCTTGCTTTCCAAAATACTCCAGACACAATGGTCCAACGGATTGGTATCCGGAGATTTTGGTAGCCATTGTGCGTTGGTAATGAAGCGAGGAACCTCATTTTGTAACCATTCTTTGGTGGCGCGTGCTGAGTGCGATGGTGCTGAGTCCTGTTGTCCAAGGTCTGCTGCCAAAATGTTTGCGTGTTCAATTCTTTAATACACCCTCCAGAATATTTTCGCGATAATATTCTGCATTTATTCGGCTGCGTTTGAGTTCCGGTTGCCAACCGAAGGTGCACATTTTCGGCTGACGTCTTTGGCAAGTAAACACGATTATTTTGTTTGTTTATAAACTGCTGGACAGCGAATGTTTATTCATCGGAGAAAACCAAATGCGGCAGTTCACCACTTTCGGCCAAGCGAAGCAACTCTTTTGAGTGCATTTTCTTTCTGTTGCGGTGTAAGTTCTTGCACTTTTTGGAATTTCAATGGCTTTACTCCGAGCTAATTTTTCAATATTTTCCGAATGACATATTGCGATATGTTCAGCTCACGAGCCATTTTTCGGCCACTGCGACGCGGGTTTCGATCAAGTCGCTTCTTTATTTTTCGAACCATTTCTGCTGATGTTGCTGTTTTCAGTATCACGGTAACGAGCGATGGTACGAGACACAAAAGATTTATTCACATTTAAATGCTGGAGTGCTCTAACGATATCCACTTGTGGTTTTGCAGCCAAATATAAAGAAATCACACTATCACGCTTGATTTCCTTGACGAATAACTTTTTTTCTGGGAAAATTCTCACCAAAATGCTTTTGTACGCTTGTAAACAATATGAGCTGTCACTGTAATAATTTTAACAGCTGTCGGACGAGTGGCTTAGAAATGTCAGCAGCCTGAAGTTGGTTGCAGTTTCTTCATCTCAGCCTGTACATAAAACTGAGGGCTCTTGTACTCACTCATTCCGGATGTGGAACACACGATTTAATTACATTTAGGCATATTCGAATAGAACAAAAATGTTGTCCCATGTTCAGAGGAGGCAAGAGCTTAAACTTGTAGCATTCTCTTCATCCTAATACTAGGGCGATTGTTTGTTGTCTTCTTTATCTCCGTAGAGTTTGCAGTGACCTGCAATGATGCTCACGTTGAGTTTTTTTCGCTTGACCCAAAGTTTGCGCGATCGCCTCCGTTATCCAATATCATCAAATCCACATTTGCACAACATGATCAGTGACTTGAAATTACATGTATTGTAGTTATATGATCTAGAGCACAACTTTATGCCATTCCTATGGCCATCGATTTGAGGGCTTTTGGTCAGTCAGAGGATCTTTAGACCAGAATAAGCTATAATTATTACCAAGCAAGAACCAGGCTATAGTAAAAACAACTACCATCCTAAGTAAATGTAGAAATGGTAATGAATTTTCTCCTCTAATACATTTCTTTTCAAGCCATAGCGACAGTTAATATTGAGAACAGAAGGTAGTTAAGGGTAAATTCATGCCCCAATTTTTAAATCTGGTCAAAAATTTTTAAAAATATCCAAATCCGAAATGTTTTATCCCAAACATCCACATAAACAACTCGTGTTATTTTATTTTCTTTTTTGATTTTTATTGTTGCACATTTGTTAATATCTACAAATCTATAATAATACATCAATATTTATAGATATAAAAACACAAGGAAAACATAAATGGAAGAAAAAAATAAACAACCTAACACATTTATAATTTATTATAGAAATAAAGTAGCTTGGAAAACACAAAACGATTTTCATTCAAAATAAAATAATTCATTTCAACAAAATTGGAGTAAACTGCATAACAGTTACGAAATTCAGGCCGATATAATGTTTAAAAGAAAAATTCTTCCACAATACAGATAAATACTTTTTTGTTGTGATTGGTAGGAATGAAATTTTAGAATTTAGAGGAACGACAGGAAAAATAAAAAAATTGTTTATGTTTACATATTTGTAGGGGTAAATACAAATCTGTAGTTTTTTTCTGTATCATCTAACAAATCAATATAGTTGATTATAATGTTATTTTCTTTTTTTTTTGTTTTGTTTTGTTGTTTTGTATTCTTTGTCTTAGTACAATGCAAATTTTATTAAACATTGAATATAGAAATTTACTTTTTCTTTAACGCTGTATTATTGTTATGTTTAAAAAAGAAGCTTAACTACGTTACTATAATAGTATTTCATTTTTTATACTTTCATCTGAAAATAAATGTTTAATTTTTAGCGAGAATAACTTAAATAAATTTATGTATCATGGTATAAAAAGAAAAGAAAAAAATGTAAGAAACTAAAATGCCTACGTTAATTTTTTATTACACTCACTTTCATTAATATTACTTTGTATGCAATTATTGCATTCGCAATGTTATTCGCTTAACATTACGTATTTTTAAGTATAAATATATGCATTTCTTTGTTGATGTTTTTTTTTTTTTTGTATG